AAAAAAAAAAAAAAAAAAAAAAAAAAAAAAAAAAAAAAAAAAAAAAAAAAAAAAAAAAAAGTGACTGCGGAATCTTCGCGATGTTGTTTTGTTTTTCTTTGCTTGTTTGTTTTTGCTTTGGTTTGCTTTTATCTGTACGGTAAATCATGGAACGCAATGATAATACATCTCAGTGGGTCCCCTTAGAATCAAGTCCCTGGTACTAGGGATCAGAGTTCCTAACTCCAAGCCTGAAACGAAAACCCTGATTTAACTGAAGTGTATCCATACAAAATTATTCTTATCGACCTCAAAAATCAAAATGGGATATATCTCGAAGGGAGATACTTGTAAGTTAAATACGGACCTGACAAAGTAGATTTATTCTTTACTACATGAATTATCAGATGAAGTTCTATTAGGTCTGTTATGCAAGAGATCGTAGGTATCTTGATCTCTTTTGGTCTGAAAAAGTTAAGTATCAATATAGGAGAGAGTCACAATTAAGTTTCCACTCTAAGTGGAAACTGGCAGAGCTTTACTCCTGGGAACAAGCTGAGAGGTTTACAGGAAGCAGTTCTTGTGGTTAGTCTCTTTCAAAATACCTGTTTAAACTGAAACTGAGAAAGAGATGAAGAATCTGCTCTGCCAATACTGAAAATATTTAGATTTACCTGATCATGGTGAACTTTATATTCATTCACGGTGGTGAAGACAGAGTCAGTTAAAAAGTTCATACTGAATTCCCAAGGTATTAGTTGGTTTTCATATTCTTGACCATTGCATTTATGAAATTTATATACTGCATGCAAAGTTGTAAATACTCATTTAGGATACTCATTTAGGGCAATTTCTTAGGATCCTATTCACAAACTCTTAACAATTGCTTATTTTTTACTGCACTTATATCACCATATCTTACAATATAATTTACATGCTATCCATCTTTTCACTTCAGAAGATCAGGAATTTACAGTGGCATATTTTCTTTATAACTGAGATTTCAGCAGATGTGGTGGGCAGCAGACAACAGTCTTTGTGACTCTTCCCTGTGGATTTTCCCATCAGCCATCTCTTCAACCTGTTCATCATGCTCAGAAGTTTCTGAGGTAATTGCAATAAAATAACTCTTAGAAAGCATGGGGTCTTCATCTCATTTTTCTAATGGGTACAATTTACAGTGAAGAATTAATTAGCTCCTGGCTAGTGCTTGTGGCTTTAGAACAGCAACTGGAAGAAAGAGGAGAGATTCCATCTACTTTGTACTTGGTGTATTACAGCCAAGACACTTTTTTTTTTTTTTTTTTTTTTTTTTTTTTTCAGGAGCAGAAGCTAGGTGAATTTGAGGAGAGGCAATGACTCTTTTTTTCATATTCCGAGTCTTGTTGTTCTTGGCTATGCCAATATGATTTTTAGATTTAATTGTTGTAAAGCTGCATCTTAACACTAGTCAAAGCTTTTACAGGTAAATAACAAGCTTTCTGCTGCTAAGCAGTGCCTTCAGAATACCTTACACTGTTGCACTAAGTACTGGCAAAAATTTATTTGGAATTTATGTAGTGCTTTTGAGAAGGAGGAGAAACTGAAATGCCACTATTCTTAATTTGATTTTGATTTTGTTTACAAAGTTTTTTTAGTCTAAAAAACACAGGTAATTTGGGCCCTGGATTTCATTTATTTTTCCCTCTATTGTATGGAGTGGCAATTTTTATTAATCTATTTTCAAAAGTTCATGTAGGCTTTTAATTATTCATCCATCTTGGTCCAATATAGTCTATGTATAATGATGTCTGAGCTAACTTCTTCACTATCTGGAACAAATTGTTAAATTTGCATCCTAAGTATTGTTCTAATACTTAGGATGCAATATTGTCTGCTAAGCAGTAGTAATGGTGACAATAAAATGATACATATAGTAAACATATGTGGACTCCAGTGAGCACCAGGCAAATTATAAATACCTTATTCCAAAATGTGTGGCTGCTTGAAACTGTTATATGTTGAAGCAGGTGTAGAACACCTGGGAAAGCCACCTGATCTGAGGTCATACAGGAATTCATAGTATATTTAAAAACTGAACACAGCTTTAGTAGTTAAATAAACTGAGTGATACAATTCAGCCCACTACTCTTGCAAGATGGCAGTTAGCCTAGGTTTCAAAGAGCCTTTAATGGGATTTTTCATTTGAGTGCTTCAGAGGAAATGTTGAGAAAAATCCAGGTGAAAGAGTTAAAATACAATCAATAAGGTGTTTTGCTTCAAAATGTAAACAAATATAGAAAAAAAAAATTGTTAATATATTTTCACTACAAACAACAATGCGAAAATGCCTTTCAGAGTACTTGCATTAGCATCTTTCCCAAGGCTCTTTGGATGACAAATATTCTAAGACAATATTTAAGGTCACATAGTTTTATCATTTTAATAATTTTCAGTATATTCATTAGAGCTGTAGCAAGCTATGCCTAATTTAGTTGCTTCATTAAAAATTACTGAATAGAAAAAACAGTCAAAACAATCTGTGTCTGTAGGCCTCATTTCATTCCTCTGGATATCAATGGCTAATTTGTGTTGGCCTGAAAGGAAGCCAGATGCATCCTATAGCCAAATTTATTCCTTAGATTCAATAGGAGCAAGGTTGGTCACAGTTTTCTTCATCTTCCCTGTCTCATTGCCAGACATTCCTAACTTTATGTAAGTCATGAGAAAGACTTTCTGATTTTTCATTTTATGACTTCTGCACAGAATTATTGTCAGACTTGGGAATCTGAACTTCTCCCATACATTCTTCACTTTAGACTCACTTTCTAAATTCTTTCCCATTTCTTTATGCCTGCAATCTGAAAGCATGCACATACACTATACTGTGTTTATATCCTATAAAGCCTTGTAACTATCATGAAATTTCAAACTGTTTTCACTGGATATTATTTAATTCAGGTACTGTGTATTTTTTTCCAAACTAGTAAAATTGTTTTAAAAGCAGCCCTAGAAAATCCTGACACAATCAGAAACAATATTCAGTAATTGAAAATCTTTAATTATGCCAATTTAGTTTTAGAAGCTAAGAGTGTAATGCATTATGCATGACAGGATAACCACAAACTCGGAAAAATCAAAATGAAAACCCACACCTGATTATTTTCTCTATCTTGTGAGATGAAAAGCAATCTCTAGGATTCTCACCTCCTGTAAGGAAGGAATCTCACCTCCTGTAAATACTTTATGTCATTTTAAAACGTTTTCTGTAATACTGCAAATTTATTATAAAATTTACATTGTTGATTTTTTTTTCTTAAAAATGCTTTGATTTTTTTAAGCAAAAATGTTATTGAAGCCTCATTTCATTACATATATTATTCCCTGCCCTGATGGCAGAAGTTGTATAGTGACTTATCCCTGCTTTAGTTATAGTGTCAATCACTGGATCAGTGTAAAAATGTCTCACTTAAATACATCTTTGAACAAGAATGGATACTAGGTGAGAATCCTCACACCAACACCACCCCCTCACCCACCTCTCCCAACCTTTACCTAAAATGGTCAGCAACTGAAAAGACTGGCTGTAAGTATATAATTGCTGGTCTGAGTTGCATTAACCCTAGACCACCACAAACCTAAAAATGATAGTTTAGGTCGTAAAACTCAGACAGAGAAGAAACTAAGCAGTACTCATGCCCAAATAACCTGATATTTGGTCTGGAAAAACTGCAGCATATTGAAATGTTGATGAAGTGAGGATGCAGCAGTGAAAGACTGTCCTCCTGAAGAAAAAGCTGCCGAGAGGCAATGACCTTCTGACATTTGCATCCACATTCTCCTTCCTTGGCAGGGCCAGGCACTCCTAAACTGTTTTGAGGCAACCCAAGAGCAAGAATGGGCTTTAGCAAAGGGGACAGGAAGATGAGAGTTGACAGGAATATAGGGGCAAAACAAAATGCTCTAGGAAAGAAGTAGAAGGCAGAAGACGTACCTACCGATCACTGCTTCACATCCTCCTACTGACACCCTCTGAGGCACCAGGCACTAGAGGTTGGGAATAAGATGATTCTCTGAATGTGTATTGCTCTCATGCTGTTGTTTAAAAAGTGAGGTTATAACCAGAGGTTTTCCACTGTAAATGGATGGTGACCTTCCAGCTAAACATTGTTTTCGTCTCATGGAGGCTGTCTGATTTTTAAAATTTGTAATGTTGTTTCACTAGAATAAAGAAAAACTCAGAAAACAAATATTCAGAAAACAACCATTTTTTTTCTTTGTACGCATAAAAGGTAACTATTATTTCTGAGCTAGTGTTTATTTAGAAAATTATAGCTTTTGATTCAGTCCATTTTGATGAACTACCTATTTACATGATTTTAAAAAATCAATCCTTCGCTATGGGATGGATTAAAAAAAAAAAAGCACATACATATCAGTAATCCTCTTCTGAAAAAGGTAAAATTAAGGGAAGCATTAAAAATGTTTTCATTTCAACACAGGTTATGACTGAAAATGGAATCTGGAATACAAAGAATGACAGCAATAAGAAACAGAAAAATTTTGAAAAATTTAGAGGGTCTAACATCCTGGACTTCACAAGAAGGATGAAACACACTGACAGGGGGTAATCTGTAACCTTTGCTTAAACATTTGGTAATTTATTAGTATGTTACAATAAATTAGTACCTGCAAAACAATGACAGGCTTAAAAGAAAAAGTTTGTTCGGACTTACCATTTTGAAGTGGCTGTATTATGTGGTTTTGAACTGAAAAAAAAAAAAAAAGACATATTTCTTTCAAATTTTCACTGAACTGAGAAATGTTTAGGTGTCAATGTTTTGTCTTTCTTGTGGCTTTTGAGGTATTCATATCTGGGGTTCCATTTTAGATTAATCTCCCATGCACATTGAGTCTACGTCTGTGCTCCTCAGCTTTAGCTGTAGCTCATAGCAACAACTGCCTTTAAGGATGCTTAAGGGCTTCTATTCTAAAGTGTCTTTTTAGTTTCTTCCAACTTTTATACATTTGTTCTCTCTTTCTTTCTTTCTTTCAGGACCAAAGGAATTTATAGAATGACCTGATGCCGAAACAGTCTTTTCCTTCATGGAATATGCACCTACGACATGACAATATTCCAGGGCTATATACAAAATCAGTCTTTTAATTTTTTTTCATATGTTTGTAAAGTATTACTAAAAAAATCACTAAAAAAACCCGTTGTGAGCAAGTGCAACCTATTCACATTGCATATACTGCAAATACTGAGAGATGTATGCAGTTGGTTACCTCTTATTTTGATGGTGAAAACTAAAATTGGTTTCAGCATAATTGGCATTAAAATTGATGTCCCAAAATACACTTATTTTCAGGTAGTTGGAAAAAATATGCTTAAACACTGTCCAAACAGTAAGGCCAGGGATATTCAAAGTGCCCATTGTTGGCCTAGTTTTTGAAGCAGATGAGAATAGAATCAGGCTTTTGAAAATAAATATACTAGAAAGGAGATTTCTTTTTTTTTTTTAATGTTAGATATTTAAAGAGAATAAAAGAGCCTACAGATTGCTTTCCCCTATTTTTGGCATGATCCATTTACAGGCCAATGCGAAGCAAACAAGATAGTTACGTCAGATAACAAAAACAGGCTCCAAGAGTAGAAGTGACTATAGGTGCTCTCCTTTCATTAAAAAAAGCTCTTTCTCATATAAATCTATTAGCATCACTTTAATTCATGCAGTTAATTTTTCTTTCCAGTTCAGAGGCCAATCCCAAGAGGAAAAAAATGTCCTCAGCTCAACCCCCTATATGTGGCAGGCATTTAGCAGGTCTTGATCTCAAAGTGCTGATGTAAATGCTTAAGATTAATATGTGGTTATGTGGTTTTCTGAATTAGAATCTCTGTCAGGTTGCTTATTTAGCTACAGTTTGGATATTAAGAAAATCTTCCCATGTTGGCTGACCTAATATGGGAAGTGGAATTATTTTGAATATTCCTTTTGTTTTATACATTGTGGGTAACTTATATAGGATATATAAATATTTGTATGAGAGACATAAATTAGATAATAAACATTTCCTGCTTTAGTTCCAAAATTTTTTTCTTTATATTCATTGTGATAACATATGACTGTGACTGAGTAATTTCTATATACAGTGATATAAAAATGCTGAAAAACTCGTATTTGTGAGTAGATATGCAAAGGAAAGTTCTCATAAGGTATACTTGAAACTAACAAATGCTGGTATAAATTCAAGTTCTTGGCATGTATACCACCCCATGCTAATGTTGCTGTGTGTCGCTCTAGCATAAAAGCAGGCAATGCTCAAGTGTTTCAAGTACTAAATATCTTGGTACCTCCAGTATAGCTGGCTTATAGGTGGATAAATGCACAGCTTGAACACAAATAAGCAAGGTGAAGGAGCTAATATTAAATATCAGATTTCCAGGATGACCAGTTGCACCTGACAAACTGCAAATGTTCTCTGCTGGTATCTTCAGCTTAAATCCTAAGAATAGGAAAATTTAAAGCCCAGTAGGACACAGTGTAGCATAAAGATGCCAGAGCTAGCTTTAAATGAATTATTTTGGGTACTGGCAACAGTCAAGCTGTGATAGCAGAGAGCTAACTCTGCGTAAGAAGTTTGTTCTGCTGCATGGGCAAGTTTAACAGCCTGTCCTGCACTCCATTCTATTATTGTGAGATGTCTGCAACGCAGTATTTTGCATAGCACCTCTCATGCAAAATGTATCCAACAGAGTTGGAGACACGTGGCAAAAAGCAGTTAGATAGGCTAGAGCTACACTGCACTATAATATGCACAAATTATGCTAACAATATTTATGTTACCGATTTGCCCTTACTCAGAACTTTCCCAGGTGAAATGTGCCCAGTCTTGAGATGCATCCTTTCTTTCTGCAGAGAGAAAACATTCACATGAAATGAAAGAAATTAGTTATTTCTAAAGGAAGGCTACTTTACTATTTATAATGGGAAATGTAAGAAAATGAATAGTAAGTCTCCTAACACCTACAATTATTGCAAGACTCAAATGAAATGAACAAATTCAGGACTACTGCTGCTGCTACAAAAGAAAAACAAAAACCCAAAAAACCCCAGCAAAAATGCTGCAAGTGTCTCTCTTTTTGCTTTTAATGCCAGCCACGAAGAACAAGATGCCAATTCTCTAGGCCCATGGTGGGTTGCCAGTGCATTGCAGGGAGATAGCTTATGTGTCAAAATACATTAACTTTTTTGGCAAGTGAGCAAGGAATGACTGTCCAAAGGGGTATTAAGTCCAGTGACAGGAGTATGAATAGTAATTTCAACCAACAGACAAAATGCAGAAACAGAAACATCTGGAAAATATTCATGAAAGAACAGCAGGGGGACAGACTAACAGGACTGAATTTTCAGTACAATATAACTAAGAAATGAAAGATAAGCTTAAAACCCTCCATTCACAAATTAGTGTTTATAACCCAAGATTAGAGATCTTTATGGAAACAGAACAGTACAAAGATAACTGCCTTGTTACCACAACAAAGTACAATTATTATAGTGTTCATACTTCTGTTACCTTTCCAAAACTTTGCTGATTTGTAATCAGTCTCATTTTAGCCACACAAAATTAGAGTGGGACAGAGAATCATATTACTCTATATGATGCATAATACTGAAGTTTTAGTGTTAAAATTACTTGTTTACAAGAACAACAGGATAGAGAGTAAAGTGGGAGGATAAGTATTGATAGACACAAAACACAAGAGAAAAAATAGATAAAATTCAGAAAGAGCCTTACAAGCAATAAAGAATCCCTTGAAGCCTTACTTGGTACTGTATTACATCATGTTTTGTATAACGTTTGCTCATAACTCTGCCCAGAACATTGCAATGACTGCCATTCAGAGGGACCCTTGACACGGTTGAGAGGTGAGCCCATGAAAACCTCATGAAGTTGAACAAGACCAAGTGCAAGGTCTTGCACATGGGTCAAGGCAATCCCAAGCACAAATACAGTCTGGGTGAAGAGAGGATTGAGAGCAGCCCTGCGGAGAAGGACTAGGGAGTAGTAGTGGATGGAAAATTGACTGTGAGCCAACAGTGTGCTCTTGCAGCCCAGAAAGCCAACTGTATCCTGGGTACATCAAGGGAAGTGTGGCCAGCAGGTCGTGGGAGGGGGCTCTCCCCTGTACTCTGCTCTCATTAGACTCCACGTGCAGTACTGTGTCCACCTCTGGGGCCCCCAACATGAGAAGTACACAGACCTGCTTGACTGGGTCTAGAGGAGGCCACAGAGATGATCGAGGAGGGGCTAGAGCATCTCCCTTATGAGACAAGCTGAGACAGTTGGGGTTATTCAGCCCAGAGAAGAGAAGGCTCCAGGGAGACCTTATAGCAGCCTTCCAGTACTTAAAGGGGACCCACAGGAAAGATGGGGAGGGACTCTTGATCAGGGAGTGTAGTGGTAGGATGAGGACTAATGGTTTTAAAATGAAAGAGAGTAGATCAAGTTAAGATGTGAGGAAGAAACTCCTCACTATGAGGGTAGTGATGCACTGGAACAGGTTGCCCAGAGAAGCTGTAGCTGCCCCCTCCCTGGCAGTGTTCAAGGTCAGGCTGGACGGGGCTTTGAGCAACCTGGGCTAGTGGAAGGTGTCCCTGCCCATGGCAGGGGGTTGAATCTAGATGATCTTTAAGGTCCCTTCCAACCCAAATCATTATATGATTCTGTGATTCGATGATTCTATGATACTCTGATGAGATGAGATGAGAGAGAGAGAGAGAATGCTGATGGGGTGGAAAGCTTCTTAATTGTTCTGGGAAGTCTTTTTCATTTTAGAACTTGCATAGGTTATACAGATACCTTCTACCCTGTGCAGTGACAGTACTCTGACCAGACTCAAAGTGCTGGGAATCCACAGAAGTATTTTTTTTTTTTTTTGAAGGATGATTGTAACTTTTGAAAAAGATCCTAAAAGTAATTTTTTAGCTCCTGAAGAATCACAGAATTGTCTAGGTTGGAAAAGATCTTGAAGATCATCCAGTCCAACCATTAACGTCACACTGACAGTTCTCAACTACACCATATCCCTCAGCACTATGTCAACCTGACTCTTAAACACCTCCAGGGATTGGGACTCCACCACCTCCCTGGAAGTCTGTGAACTGTTAAGATTTTAGTTTATTTCCACGAAAGGAGTACAGTATTTACCATTGTTGGAGAGTAAATATTGCCTATGATATGATACAATATCATATTTTCTGTACTCCTAAAGGTTTGCTAGAAGGTGCAAGTGCTATGCCTCTTGACTTTGTATGTGTCAAAATAATTTTAAAACCTTTGTCTTTAGGAGAAAAAAAGAAGTATTATGTTAGAAAACTTTGGTAGGATATCATTAAGAGAGATTAGATAATTATTGTACATTATAGATATTTTTGGACTGCCATACTCAGTGTTTCTTTTTAATTGTGATGATAATAAAATATAGTAATAGCAAATTATCAAGAAATAAAAGAAAATAATGTCAAGAACTACCAAATTTCTTCAAAATTACAGAAAAAGAAAAATCAGTTTTAAGGAGTCAAAGGGATAATGAAAATATTATTCAAATGACAATTATGTCAGTTTGTTCCTTGCAAGCTGTAGAAGCCATAATACATTTACATTTTTTCCCATTCAAAAAAAAAACAACAAACCACCAAACAACAAACCAACCACAAAAAACTAAAACCAAAATTAAAAAGGTTTTCCCCTGCTTCCTTTGTCTTATGAAGTATGCCATTGAAACAGACATGTCATTTAAAGAAGCCACTTTTTCCTTTGTCATTAATTGAATCAACATTAAACAAACAAGCAAGCGAACCACTCCATTGTGCACATTCCCCCTGGCCAGCCACATTACATGTGACACATTTGGAACAGATTCTATGCTGAATCAAACCTTTCATTCCCAAATATACCTGTGCAGGAGACAGCCAAAGGCCTGGTTTCATTTTCAATCTTAAACTATTCAGTTTCAGAGCAAGATCTGAAGTCAACATTGATAAACATTGTTTTGACCATGGACACTGCACTCTTGCTCCACTAAATTTCTTTTCATTGTGCTAGATCTTTCTGCAGTATTTTACACCTATTGATCATATATTTGCTTGTATGCAAAACAGCACATCCGTGAGTTGGTGTCTAACATAAATTTACACTGCACAAGGTTCAATTTTGTTTCCCTTCAGCTCTACACAGAATTTCTGTAAACCATCAGAGGAGGACGTAAATGCTGGCAGCAGATACGCAATGCTTCACTTTACTTGTTGTACTTGTTGTACATTATGGCTACCAGCCTGGCTAGGAAGGAATGAACTGGTCAAAACCAGACAAAGATGAGTCCTAACTAGAGAATGCAAAAGAAAATCATTACTTATGGGTAGTCCTGCCACTGCGTTCTTCAGGTGAACATTGGCTTATGTGTAGATTATGAGTACTCCTAGATTCTTGCTGATGCTAAACTTGGTTCAAGGATGATCAGTTACAAAAACTTTCAAACATGTACTTTTGTCTAGGAAACTCAATTCAGTTTTTCCAGAATGACTTCCCATGGCTAGACTACAGTCCTGAAACAGAGCTAGATGTGAAGTTGCTGATGATTAGGGAACACCAACTAGCTCAGAAACCTGTGACATTTCCTTAACTGCATTAGCTACCACAAACAGAGGAGACCTTCCACTGGTACAGAATTTTGAATCAGGTTAGAGGACTCCTTGCTTATCTTTATAGCTGAGTTCCAGATACCTAGGAGACTGCTTAATGCCGTGAAATGACATGTGTGTTCTTCTGGCACAACAGGACTTCCTAAGATAAGGGTAAACATATAGGAGATGAAGACTTCTTAGGGACTGGTCTGGTACTTAAAATTCATTTCTATAGCAATGAAGACCATAAAAAAATTTTGTTTCCGGTTAAAACTGCTTTTTCTTAATTTTGTATTTTCGATCTTTCTGTGTCTGTTGCTCTATAACATTAATACCACTTCACACTCCCCCCCCCCCCC